AAAGTGGAAAGAGAGAGAGAGAGAGAGAGAGCGGGAGAATCAGAGGCGTATAGAGGGAGTACAGGGAGGGAGCTCTTCTCTGATGGTCAACCTACCAGCAAATCAAAAGCATTTTTTTGAAACTCAACTTTTGCGAAAGAGAGCAGAGAGAGAGAGAGAAGTTTGCACAGCGCTTTCTACGCGTCACACTGAAGGGGGAAACGCCGAGAGGGGAAGAGAACTGGAGATTGAGTGCAAATAAAATGATGTCATGAAGTGCCTGAATGCCATAGAGAGCGACAAAGAGCGGGGGGAGGTATGAAGCTAAAAGCAAACGGCCGCCGCCGCCGCCGTCGCCGCAATGCATGCTCCACTTTACGAGCATTTCCAGAGCCATCAGCTCTCCCACTCCCACTCCCACTCTCCCTTTCCCACTCACCCACTCACTCGTAAAGTTTGCAGCTTGATGGACCAGCCCCAGCCGAAAGCAGCAGAAGCACAAAACGTTTGCCACTGATTTCTTTTGCCCCCCTTTGAGACCCATTTTCCTAACGTTTCAAGAGCGTTTTTACCCATCCGTTTTTGTGAGAAGAAGGTATGACGATTTTTTAGAGACGTTTGCAATGCACAAGAAGGCCCTTCAAAGGATAACTAAAAGATATATTGATGCTGGCGCAGAATCAAAACATGAATATAAATAGCTATTGGCTGTCATATGTTTTTTTTTCTATGAATTTTAGCCTAGTTTTAGGGGTATCTGTGGCTCTTTCTACTGCAGAAAGTAGCTCAAAGAACCGACTAACATTGAAGACATTTTCTTGAGGGAAAAATGCTTTTGTTTGTCACGAAATCTTAACGAAATTTCACTTCAATGTAAGAGGAATGTAATTTTTCATTATTTTTACTAATTCGAGTTCGAGTTCCATGAATATTTCCATTAAATATTGTTCCATTACCCAGCTATCAATTCACATAAAACGGAAATTTACGCAGCTTCGTTCACTGTAAAAATACCCTTTATTTCCACGAGCACAGTGGCGGGGGGTGTGTGACAGAACACAGCAACAGTAGAAGCGAAGGCTGCAATTACAACTGTGGATCCCAATGGGGGCAAGTGGAAGCGGGGCTTGTGGTGAGCGAGAGAACTCAATGCACAAATCTTGACAAGTATTTTGTCAACTTTGACTGCTGGTTAGAAAGGCAGCAGCAGAACGGGTGGCAGTGGACGCAGAAGGAGTAGGAGGTGCAGTGCAAGTGGCTGGAGAAATAGGAGCAGCAGTGGAAGTAGCTGAAAGAGTAGGTGGAGCAGCAACAGAAAGAGTGGCAGCAGCAGCAGCAGCAGCATAAAAAGAGGAAGTAGCGCCAGAATCTGCCATAGAAGTGGCAGAAGAGGCAGCACAAAACTACAGATGAAATGAAGTGACGCTCGGCGAAGAGTGGGAAAACTTCACCTTTCAAAAGTAGAAGGAAAAGTGTTGAACTTTAAGTGTTGCTTTGGCTTTCCTTTCTCTTTGGGTTTCATTCTTTTCTTTCTCTCTTTTTTTCACCCTCATTTTTCTCTCCTGTTCATACCTTTTCCCTCTCGCTTACCCACTCCTCTCCTGTTCTTTGTGTCTTGTGTGTTGTCATAGAAACTGAAAGTGTCGGAGGATTACTACGAGAAGGTGCTGCTCCTGCTGCTGACGGAGCAGTGCATTGGCCTTGCATCAGGTGCCACAGAGATGAGCTCTAGAGATGGGAGTAGCAAAAAGAAGGACAGTCACGATTGAGCACAAGAATATAAATGGTGGATGCTTGATTAGGTATAAATGAAGTGCTTTTAAGGGGTATTATTGTGTTCGAGCTTTAGATTATTAAAATAATTACCCATTCTTTTGGCTTGGGAGACTTTCGGATTCAGAATATCCCATAGATTCTTTAATTCTTAATTTCTACTAAGAAAAATGTTTTAAAAATTATTTAAAGCTAAGGGGCACTTTTTTTTATTTCTTTAAAATTACTTCAGAAATGATTGGATTTCCTTCTACGAGTAGTTATTGGATCTGTAAATCTTTAGAATTCTTCTTCTCGAATCTTTGTGTTTTAGAATGTATTTTTCATGTTGAATAGCACAAAAATAGCATTTGCATTAATGGATAATGATCCTGAATGTTCTTTAAAGACTCGTTTTAGAGCAATAATTCGATGTATTCCAATCCATTAATATTTGGAAATTATTCGTTGTAGTTTCCACTCATTAGATGCCTCCATTTGCCATAAATAAATATACAAATATCCTAAAAAACTGCAGTCATAAATGAGGCACATTTTTCAGGAGCCTGCAACTGCAACTTCATTTGCATTCAGTCTGTTGCCTCACGAAACCATCTCTAATACTGGATTAAGAAGCCAGTCTGGCCTTAGAGCCCCTTGAGGCACTATATAGTGGCGCTGCCACTTCTTTTGGATCTCCTTTGACTCTAATTAACTTGATTCAGTATTCCAGAAGAGCCATGGCATTGCCTACTGCCTACTGCCACTGCCTACTGCCATCTGCCATCTGCAATTCAATTAAAAATTAACATTTTAATTGCAAATTACTTGATATACTTTACGACGAAACGATGCCTGCCGCACACCGACATCGAGAGGAGCCGAGAGGTGCAAAAACTCCACTTAAATAAAGTAACTTTCCTTCTTTTTTGGGCTACCTGGAAAAAGAGGGAAAGCGCAGAGCGCGGGGAAGAGGCCCAGATGAGGGTAAACGAAGGGACAACGACAGGGAGGAGTCGAGTCAAATGGGGAAAGGAATTCAGAGAAAAAACTCCAACGAGGAGTGGGATTCAAGGAGTGTAGGAGCTGTAGGAGTGGACTCCAAAGGAGCAGCGGTAACAGCTGCAGGGAGCAGCAGTTGGAGCTCATTTCATGCCGTTTAATTTTATCATGCGCCAACAATTATGCAACTTGTTGGTTCGCTTCATTGCCAGGACCTCCACCACCAGAGCAGGACGTTGGCCAGAAGGACTTTCCGAATGAGGCAGGTCCGAGGCGGCCTCTTTTTTTTTTTTTTTTTTCAATTTGTTGCCAATAAAACTTTTTCCATTTCGGGTTTCTCTCGATTGTTGTTGCTGTTGTTCCTTCGCTGAAAATTTGTTGTTTCTGTAATTTCCTCGATGAACATTGTTGCGAAAACTGTTGTTTTCCATGTGCCTCGTCATAGTTTTGTGAGTTGGCAGAAAAACAACAGGAAAATCTATGGGAAACAGTAGGGAATGCTCTACGAAATAAGTAGAAAAAGCTGTATAAAAAACGGCGGGAAAAACCATAGGAAAAAGCTATAGAAAAGCATTAGGTCGAGTAGGAATTTTGATTGTTAGGAAAAATGTATTGCTAATCACAATATCAAAAGTTTTTTTTTATTTTTGTTATTGTTCAGTGGAAAGCCAATAATTTAGATGCAGGAAATGCTGTCTCCTGGATTTATAATTAAATATAGCTTATAATTATATCACTAATCACACCTGCACTAAAAAGTACGATTATTGGTGGAAATATTGAAAGTCGTCTATACATCTTTTTTAACCATAAAATATATATTTTAAGGTATTTTAAAATATTATTTAAAAGTTAAGAAATTTTATGAAAATAGGATTTTAAGAATAAAGAATCTGTGAAAATTGATTTAAAGATTGAGAGGTGAGATCCTACTCACATTTTTCATTCGTTCGAGTATTCATGCGATCATTGAGTTTGACTGGAACTCTCATTCTTCTTTCATTCTGGCACTCATTTATTTATTCTCTGCAGCTATTTTCCTGCTAAATTGTGTCTTCCACATATACTATAAATATACTCCTTAAACAAGTGCCGCCCTTCGTTGGAATGCCTTTGTTCTTTTTTTCTGCTTTCCACTCGATAAATTCCTTGATCAATTTGCTGTCAATTTGTTATAGATATCTCCGCATCGTGTGTCTCTGTATCGCAGTCGTGCTCTGTTCCCCCTGCCGCTGCTTGTTGCACAACAAATGTTGCACAATTTTATTCCTGACAAAACAAGACTTACTCAATTGTGAAAGAGAAAGCTTTTTTCAGAAAGAATTTCCTCTATTCACAAACATATTTTTTTATTTCATTTTTCTTTTCTAGGATATAAATTTCGTACTCTAAATAAAATAAAAGAAAATTTCTCTTTGAATATAAATTTGCTAACTTCATTTGAACAAATAATTTCTCTTAAATATTTGAGACTTTATATTGTTTTTTTTTATTATTTATAATTGTATTATTAATTTATTATTATTATTATTTTTTTTTAATTATAAAGATTTTTGATTTAATTGTAAATTAAATATTTGAATTTTCTTAGAAATGCAAAAATTATATTAGGCGTTTATTTACAAATGTATTCCTTAACTTTTTTGTTAAAGTAATAAATAAAATGTATTAAATTTGCAAAGTTTTTCTGTAGTTTCGATGCCTTTACAGAAATTTTTGAAGCTTTTTCTAACTCATGGCTTTTCCATGAGGATTTCGCACCCCTTTTCAAGGTTAAGCACTGGAAAAGTACTTACAAAATACAATTTCTGTATGAGGGGTTGATGACTCCGCTTGCTGTAACCCTTGAAGCATCATTCCATGGCCCTTCTGTTAATTGCTTTTGTAGACAAATTATAAAAAACCTCCGACTGGTTGGGGCATTGTTTTGCGTTTGAGCATTCCATTCCTGAAACACACACTTCAAAAACAGACAAAACCACCGACGTAACCATGACCATGAAAAATAGAAGCGCACACCAAAAAAGGATAAGAGACAGAGAGCGACGAGTCCTTGCTGTGTGTCCCCGTGAAACGGTGGGTCAGTTTTAATTTAACTTTGACATGCATCAAGCTCTCACAAAAATCCAATTACAAAACAGAAATACATACAACCAACTGGTGAGGGGAAACCCCTTTTTCCCTTTTCCCTTTTCTTTTTTTTTCTGACTAGAAAAACCATTAAATGTGTCCCTTTTTTTGTGTGTGTTTGTTTTTGCGCCATAAAGATGAAGATTTATGAAACCATTAAAAAGGAAAATTGTATTTGAAAATGTATATTAAAATTTGAGTGTGAAAAGTGCTAGAAAAATCAGTGAGGAAAATCAACAATGAAATAGCGAAAGGAAATGTCCAGTCAAACGTTTAAGCAACGAGGCGGAGGTGTTCCTCCAAAATCCGATCGAAATGCGAATGAGGAGAATCATCATCAACAGCAACATCAACAGAAGCAGCAGCAGCAGCAGCAACAGCATCAGGAGGAAGAGTCGGAGAAGCTGCGACAGGAGCTGCAACCGCTGCCACAATTGGGGGCCAAACCCAAGAACCAGAGGGAGAATAAAAGCCAAAGGATTCTCCAAACAAAGACTGAAAATCAAAATCAAAATCAGCGACAAAAAGGCCTCACCTTGCAGGGTTATGGCAACTATATGGAATTGGAGTTTATACAAACAGAAGTCGCGCCATCGTCGATATTAAATGACCTGCCCGTGAGCTATGCCACCACCAGTGTGGTGGCACCACCGCCCTATCGCGAACCACCACCGCCCACACCGCCACCACTGTCACAGATACCCTCCAGAGAGTCGCGACTGTTGCATTCGGCACCAAATACACCCATACGTGGCAAGGTTGTGCTGAGCAAAAAGGAGCGGAAGGAGCTGAGCAAACAATTGGGCTTAGAGGATCTCCAGGGATTGCCATTGGGCAGCAGTAGCTCGGCACAGTCGAGTCCCTACAAGGGTAGGGTCAGCGAACTAAAGAACTGCATAGCAAGGGGCCTTTTTGCCACGCTACATCGGGGCACGCCCAAGGAAAGGGAGCTACAAAACAATCAGGAAATATCCCCACCCCCACCAGCACCAGAGTCGGGCAACAATAATGAGGATGCGCCCGACTATGCCGAGAAACTTAAGAATCTGCCCGTGCGCCAGCGAAAGGTGGCCACATCCCACATGGATAACTATTGTCTGTTCGATCCAGTGGATTTTATCAATGAAAAGGCCATGCGCTATCCCAGTGCCACCACCTCGCATGGCCTTAGGGATCCGCTGTTCAGTTCGCGACAGCATTTGGTCTGCGAAGATGAGGATGAAATGGTGCCCGAGGTCATCTATGACAACGAGGAGCTAGAAGTCGAAGAGGAGACCATCATTATAGAGACGTCTGCACTGCCCGAAGCGGAAACCGAAGGCTGTGCCGAGCCCAAGGATGTGAGGATACACTTTGATCATCATAATTATTTTGTGATTGAGCCAGGAATCTGCACACTGGACATTGGCATACCCAATCCGTATACGAATGAGCAGCTGGTGAATGCAAATCTCGAGCAACAGAATCTGGAGAAGCTTTTCCATGAGCTGGAACATCCCGCCAGCAGCATGTCCAACAGTCAGGAATCAAAGGACACAGAGACCACTTCCACAGCTCTGGTGGAGTCCTCCACCTCAACAAATTCAGGCAGTTCCATGGGCAGTACTTGCGTTCAGAATCAGGCGCAGCATTCCATGAAAAAGAAATTGACGTTCTTGAATCTTTCACCCTTTCGTGGGGGCAAGAAATCGGGCGATAAAACAACCTTTGAACAGCAACAGAGAGCCATTTCAGAGCTGGTGAGCACGGATCACATGTTGCACTTGCAACAATTGCTGCAGGAACAGCGCAGGGATCAGCGTTCGCACACGGTGCCAGTGCCCACGGAATCGAATTATGTTTTATTCAATCCCGGACCCGTGCCCAGTCGTCATGTGCAGTACAAGATACGTAAATCGCGACCTTTGTCGACACACAGCGATGCGGACAGTGGATTTCTATCGCCTTGTTCGCCCGATGAAATGAGGGGCAATCCAGCCGTATTGGTGCTGCAGCAATGCGACAGTGTTCAGGGCTATATTGAGGTGAGTTTTGCTGACGCTTTTTGAGAGAAATAAAGCTTCTATTTACTACAAATTTAGAATAAAAAAATAAAATAAATACATAAAATAAAAAATTTAAAATGTGATTTTGTAGGATTTTATTTGATTTAATTTCTACATAAATTAAATAGCCAAAATAATTATAATTGAACCACTTAAACAGAGGTACTAAGTAAGTTGTAGTACTCCCAGTTTAAGAGCTATTCCTAAATATTATTCCTAAATTATATTCTTAATTCCCCAAAAACATTATGGATTAAACACATTTTGTGTTACCTTTTAATTAGGAAGGTATATTTATTACAATAAAATTAATTAAAGATGATGTCTTCTCATGCTATCTGTGAAAAGTATACATCAAATTAAAAAATTTTTAATTTCTTTTTATATTTTTGGGACATTTTAATTCTAATTTAAGAATAATTATTTACAATAATTTTAAAACAATAATTGTTTTCGGATGTTTTCGAGTCGTTTTTAAAGTTGAACCAGCTGTTGGCAGAACAACCAAATTCTTTTCCTAATCTTCTTCTGTTAGCAAGCCAAGGCAGAGTAGCAGAGTTGAGTGTTTGGAGTTACAGTTCCCAGCATCGGCTTCAGTCAAAGGTCAACAAAAAGTGAAGCCTCCCCAGCATTGAGGACCGCTAGGGCCACAACGCGTATTAAATGGACCATTGTAGGAGCCAAAGCAGGGATCGTAGAAGCCACTGGGACCACAACCGCCGCAGGGGCACAGGGCGGCAGAGGGATAGCAAGGATAATTGCACATCTTGTTGCTTCAACTGGAACTCTGTCCTGAAAATATTCTTTTATTTGTCCGAAAAGTATTGTTCATTTTTGTTTGCTTACTTTTCTAGCTAGACACGAAAATAGGAAAGAATTTTCGGAATTATTTTTCGACTCGTAAAACACTCCGAACTGTACAAATATCTGTGTGAAACTGAATGAGAATGTGTTATGTGCCCCCCCCCCAAGGCCTGCATGAATGTAGGGGCATAGGCCTACTTTTTTTTTGGGAAACAAATAGAATTTTGCATTTGCCCCATGGAATAAAATTAGTAACCTTTTATTATTTATATTTCCTATAATTTTAAAGCTATGAAGCTGGTGTTTAGTTTGCTAATATGTTATGGAATAATCCACCTATGGTTAAGTTTTCATCCACATTGTAGCATGACAACACCCTAAGAAGAGTTTACCAATCCATAAAGCTTATATGCCGACCATTTAGAGTATCCTTTTGTAGCCTTTCCCTTTTATTCTTGGCTGACTCTTTCCATACTTTAATGTGCTTTTTGATTCCACCGTTAAAATCCTCTTTAACCAAAATTACCACCAAATGCACACCCCTCAGCAGTGGGGTGGGGTGCTTATCTATAGGTTTGGTTTTCTATATGTATAATTTCATGTATCTTAAGCTGGTAATCATTTGCGGGTGCGCTGTGTTTCCTCTTTCCCTGTCGATGTCGATGTCGCACACTTGTCGCACCATTTGCCGGCTCACTTATCTTAACGAGCGAAAGCAACTTAACAAGTCTTATAATATGCATCTTGAAAGTACACCCCAGGGGAGGTGCTGTATTATTCAACGTACCAGCCAACCCAACCCCAACCCCCTTTTTATTGGGGGTGTTAGAAATCCAACCCCCAAGAACCTTGCCTGAATTTTTGGGAACTGCAGTTTTCCTGGATTTCTGGTTGCAACGTTTGAGATTTTTGTGTGTACTTGGGGGAGGTTTTTGGGCTGTTCTTTTGATTGCATCAGGTTTTCCCATTTTCCCCACTATTCTTCCATGACTTTTGCACCCACTCTCTCTCCCACTCCCACTCCCACTCTCGCTTTGTTTCTCTTCCTCGTACGCTGCCTCCAGGGAGCAATCAATCGTCGCGTATTCTCGCTGCTGCCGCTGCTCGCTTCATTAGTTTTTCCCATAGCCTGAAACATTAGTTGGATTGTGTGGCAGACGCCAGAGCCAAGTGGCACACAGACAGACAGACAGACAGGCAGGCAGGTGGGTGGTGGAAAACCCCCTCCTAGAAACACCATCTGTGTGCCTTCCATCTTACGCGACTTTTAATGGAATTGAATTAAAATTGTTGCCATGGTGTTGAGTGTTGAATGAGAGTTCTGTCAGAGAGAGAGAGAGAGAGAGAGAGCGAGAGAGGGAATGAGAACAAATAAACAGGAAACAACAGGGTGTACCATGCATCGATGTGAAAGTGTGGAAATGGCGGCTGAAACATACTACCCCTTGGCAAAAGCAGAGGCATTCCGTTCCCCCATTCCCCGCCTTCCCATCCATCACGTACGCTTGCCGCAGGCATTTTCTATCATTTGCAAATTGAAAATGTGCGCACTGTAAATTTTGGCTAGCAAACAAAAAAAAAAACAGAAAGAAACAGTGGAAAATCGAATAGAAAATCGCCCCGCCCGCCCTTAAGAGTCTCTCTCTCTCTGTCTTTGCCTTTAGGGCAATTTGTTAGCCCTAATGAAACGCAGTACGAAATGGAGCATACTTTTTGACGCAAAAGTGTCAAGTGCATTGCTTTGGCAGGCGATTTGCCACTTCGGAGAATGGAGAGGAATGAAATGGGTGCTTCAGCGAATGGCATGGGTTTTATGGGGTAGATGTTTTGGGTCAACTGCAAGTGAAGGTTCTTCAAACGGAAAGCCACTGCAAACAGGAAGCAAAAGGAGCGGCTAAACAGCCAGCCAGATGGGGGAATTTTCACAGCAAATGGAAAGCCAAAGGAAAGGCCATGGCACTGGCGAAAGGCCACTGCAAAAGGGGATGTCAGAGAGAGAGAAAGGAGCTGGAAAATGTCCACAGGAGGCAAATGGAATGCAAATTGATATACACGCGGGGGGCAAACAACAGGATCATCAAGGTCCTGGCCAGAATGATGAGTGCCAAGAGGTAAATGTGCTGGCTGTAGTTTTTGAAGAGAAAATTAGTTTTGGGATGAAAAAAAAAAAAACTACAATTGACAGCGGTAAAGGCTAGTTGTATAGGGGAAGAAAAGTTCCATAATGATTCGACATAGAAATGTTGTGGCAAAATGGAAGAAAAGGGAGATTGGGGAAAATAATCACATATTTCCCATTGATCACCCAGTAGAGTTATGTAAGAGGAAGAGTAAAGGAAATACAATCTACAGAAAATACAAAGAAGTTCACACTTTTAAGTCAATTAAGCAACAACAACAAAATCATTGTACGAAATTATAAGAATTATGAGAAAACGAGAAGAAACGTGTGAGTCGCTTCTGGGGAGGCGACTCTACTTACACCCGGACTCAGGGGAGAAATTTTGAAATACACTTGAAGCAGTGTGATATCACATGAGTCTGGAAATCAAATTTGGTTACTCTAGCTCTTATAGTCTCTGAGATCTAGGCGCTCAACAAGACGGACAGACAGACGGACAGACAGACGGACAGACAGACGGACAGACGGACGGACAGACAGACATGGCTATATCGACTAGGCTATTGATGCTGATCAAGAATATATATACTTTATGGGGTCGGAAACGTTTCCTTCTCTGCGTTACACACATCCACTTTTACCACAAATCTAATATAACCCTTAACTCTTTTTTGAGTACGAAAATTGTATGAAAAATGAATTGTTAAATAAAATAATTACTGAGTGATTTTTCGAGCTTACAAAAATATTCTTAGTTCAACTTATTTGCTTATTCTGTTTTACTGCATATAATTTTTGCACTTTATTTCTCCTATATTCCAGTCCAATTAACCTAAGAGTATGCCATGGTTCCATAGCCAAATCGAAGCCAATTTGCTGGCACATTTTCCGCAACAAAAAAAAAAAAAGGGAGAATATAAATTGCAATTCATAATTATCGTGTGTACAATTTTGCACATATGGTGTATCCTGTAGCCCAATATTCGCCGGCAGCAGCTTCCAATCCCTATATACCATACCAAATCCCGGCAGCCCCGGACATAATTATAAAATGCATTAAACAGTCGAACATTTATTGCCTCAGTCATAAATCAAAAATTTATCACAGAACGAAAAGACGCAAAAAAAAAACAAAATTAAACCCCTGATCCATGAACCGCGACTCCCTTCTCTCCACCCTTGAGAGACCACCACCCACTGCTGACTCGCTCTCTCTCTCTCCCTTTACTGCATTCACAGCGCTCTCTCTCTCTCTCTCTCTCACTCACTTCAGCGACTTTCTGATAATCACCAAGGGAATGCAGCGGCACTTTTTACAACTTATTGGACTAATCATCAGCGGTGGCAGGGGGTTCCAAGGGGTTTCCATGGCTTTTAGGGGTTCCAGGGAGTGTGTCCGTGTTGTGGGTATGGGTGTGGGTGTTGTCCATAAAGTAGCCGCACGACACGCGACTTGCCCAAACGCGACTGCCTGCGACTATAACCAGAAAAGGAAACAACAAATTTGGTGGGTGCAACACCCACCCTTCTTCCTCCTTTTACGGAAGCACCCAGTGGCAGCATCCGCCAAATGTGACTATGGCTGTGCCTGTGCCTCTAGCTGCCGCGTCCTTCTGCCTCTTTCTGTTGCAAGCACAACTATGCCTGACAGTTGACAGCTTAGCGCCTCGCGACAAATATTCGGCCAGTGCGCCGAGGGTCCGTCAGGCAACGCAGAGCACTGTCTGAGCGATGGAAGGGTGTAGCTGTGTGGTTGCAAGCAAAATTGCATGCCTCAGTGCCGTTTTGCAATTTGCAATTGAGACTTTTTCGCTCAAGGAGAGGGAGGAATTGCAGAGAGACAGAGAGAGAGGGAGAGATAGAGCTCGAGCTCTATCATGAAGCACAGCCTGCTGTTTAGGCCAAAAATCGTTGACCAACGCGCGACATAGAGTAGAAGGACGGAAGGCAGGAAGGCAGGAAGGAAGGGACCTCTACTAATTTATGGTTATATTCCCAGTCCCGCCAGCCCCACGCTCCACCCTGGCAATCTCCAGTCCCCAGTCGCCCTCCGCCGTTAGCATAAATTCCAAAATGTTTTTGTTTGCTTTGACTTTGATGGAAAGTGGACGCAGGACGAAGGAACCACTAGATATCCTTCTCTTAGGAATAGAAAATGGGAATGGGAATGGCAATGGGAATGCCCTGCCATGAAGGGTGGTGGGTGGATGGAACATGTGAAGTGGAAAACTTCCACAAAGATTGAAGAGTCTGTATAGACAATTAAAGGATTTTGACTTTTTGAAATTGCATCTGATTTTTGGGCAGCTGAGTTTTCATTTCTGTGTGTTTCCATCTGTAAATGGAATTTCCTTTTCTGGTAAAAGGCAAACATTTATGGTGGAAAATGAATGGGGTGGGGTGTAAGCAAATCGACATTTCTAAAAAAGAATCCAGTTTTAAGTGTTTCCATAATAAAATCCTATGGAATAGATTTCTTTTGAATTTAATTCTATAGTCTCATTTAAAGTGGTTTTCCTTAAATTTTTCTATTTTTTTCCTATATAATTTTGATTTTTTGTATATATTTTTTATCACATTTTATGCGGGATTTCTTCTTTAAATTTATTTATTTATATTTATTGTATTTATATTTATTATTATTATACTATGTGTGTATGTATGTATATTTATTGTATTTATATTTAGTAAATTAATATTTAAATTTTAAAAAAATCTCCAGAAATAATTTTTTATATTATAATTTTAAATTTATTTCCCTTGAAAAACCTCATAATCATCTGTTCATTCAATTGAGTTTGTGGTTTCCGTATATGAAATCCATTTGGAAATTGCATTTCCCAGAAGCACATTAATCACGTGCAACAGTTTTCTCCCCCCTCCACCTACGTTTTCCTTCCCTGTGGAAACTAAATGATTAAAAAACATTTTCCTGTATTTCCAAAAGCAATCGATAATTATGCTGCAGGCAATGCCAGATGTGGATGTGGATACAAATGTCGTCGATAAGGAACTGCCACATGCAACTGTCAATATTGTACAAATGCTGCCA